ACAAGGCACCAGTACATAAAATCTCAAGGTATAGCAAAATGTCAGTTGAATTTACTAAAATTTTGACAGTTGGTTGGTAAATTGCATATTACAGAAATTTCGTTACTCTAATCATTTTTATGGGATGGATCTCATTGGATCTAAGTCAGAATTTGTATACCTTAAGTTCATAAAAATCGTTATTTGTAGTAAGGCCATCTATCGGTATTCACAACTGTCCGTAAGGCACCTTCTTTACTGATGTATATTCAATATAGTCTCTCAATTTTATTCCTTTACCATTTCGCAGCTCTCATTTCAAGTTAATTTAAGTTTGGTTTGTATGACAATGATCTATGCATTAAATTTGCAATAAAAGCTGTAAAGTAGCTAAATAAATCTAGTTCATTTTATCCTTCTAAAATATTTGGTTACGCAGGGTTTGAAAGTAAATCTCTCGTGGTAAATATTTACATTGACCTTAACATCACTGTTTAAAAATGGACTTCGCCTAACTGGAACTTTCTAATGGACAAGCTGTCTACATGTACCTCTTTCATTTATCATTTCTAAAACGCTTTTTTGTTGTAGTACTTTTATATGTTCGAAAATGCTACGTATATAACTTATCTCGAAGAAATTATAAATTATGTTTCTTGTTCAAATGAAGTGTTGGTTTAACATACTATATATTTTCTGTATTTTTTTAAAGTTAATATATTGCCATTTCATTTTATTTTTTAAAATCCTTCCGGGTATAAGTGGTATTACTATTACATATATCACATATATTACATATATCATTTGCAGCTCAAATCGGTTGACAGCATCTTGCTTATATTCATTAGTACTAAGTTTATTATTATTATTAGATATGATATTAACACGCCACTATTAAGATCTATTGTTTCATCCCCGTAGAAAGTGTTTTTATGTTAAACTGACGAAATTAGCGCCATTGATAAACTTAAAAGTGTTTTTTAGTTCACTAAAAACTAGATAAAGGAAGGAACTTCATCCACTTCCTGAAAATAGTAAGATAGATAGACGAACGAATGCTTGATGCTGTTTTTTAATTCGTTCTTAGAAAAGTGGTAGTTAGCAGGAGTGTATACCAGTGGAAGTTTTATAACCCGTATCTTGTTAAGTGTAGGTACTTTAATTATTTAGAGGTTATGTTCCACATTTTCCGTACGATAGCTTCGCATTAATTTAGTCTTATCAGTTGATTGGAAAATAGTGTCATATATATTTATTTTCCAGTTAATATTCATTTAAGTGTAACTTTTTATATTAATTTATGTTATTATTTTATTATTAAATTTACATAAAATGACTTTATATTTATAATGTATCTACATAAGGAGCTACAGCTATTATTTATTGTATTTCTTGGATAATAAAAAAAGTTTATATAAAAATACAATATAAGCTGATGTATGGTCAAATGTTGTAGTATAAACAAATGCATAACTGATGCGGGGAGGGGTGGGTGAAACAATTGATTGCAGGCAACAATAATCAAATGTAAGGCAATCATTTTTGTTTAGAAAATTCGAGTATTGTGTGATTTTTTTCATGTGCTGCTCTGCTCTGCTCTGCTGACTAAACTTTCAGTTAAGTGT